CGACGGGGGGGGGCGGCGGGCGCCGAGCCGCTGTGCCGGCGGCACGGCGAGGCGCTGAAGCTGTTCTGCGAGGAGGAGCGGAGCCCCGTGTGCCGCGTGTGCCGCCGCTCGCCGCGGCACCGGCTGCACGCCGCCGTGCCCATCGAGGAGGCGGCGCAGGAGCGCAAGGTGGGAGCCCTGGGCACGGAGGAGGGGGACGGAGGGGGAAAGGCGAGGCCGGGGGAGCGCGGCTTGCCTCGCCGAGGTTTGGGGTTTTTTTGCGGATTTTTTCGGATTTTTTTCGGCATTTTTTGCGGATTTTTTCCGGATTTTTTTTCGGATTTTTTCCGGTATTTTTCCGGATTTTTTCCGGTATTTTCCCCGGATTTTTTGCGGATTTTTTGCGGATTTTTTCCCGGATTTTTTTCCCGATTTTTTTCCGGTTTTCCCCCTCCCCACCCATCCCCGGATGGAGGGAGAGGCGCCCAGCCGCTGTTTCTGCCCCGCTCAGGAGAAATTCCAGGCTCAGGCGCAGATCCTCAGGGAAAAGAGGGAAGAGATGCTGGCGATGAAGGCGGCGGAGGAAGAGAAGAGCTCGGACTTGCTGGTGAGCGACTCTTCCCTCTTCCCTCTTCCCTCTTCCCTCCCACCGCCCTCGCCGGGAAGGATTTCTCCCCCTGAATTTAGGTCTCCGACCCAAACCTGGTTTTTTTTCCCGTTTTTTGTGAGTTTTCCCCTCCCTCCGTGCGCTCACAAGTGGGGCACGCCCCCAGATCCCCCCTGCCAAAAGAGAGAAAACGGGAATTTCCCCATTGCGGTTTTTTTTTTTTTGGCCGTGTTTTGCCTTTTCACCGATCTCTTTATGGGTTTGTTCTGCGCCTTCCCTCGTCCAAAGGTCCGGAGCCTTTTGGGTGCGAAGTTTACGGAGCGGGGGGAAAAGGATTTGCAGACAGTCCCCTCCTGGAAATGGGGGAAAAAAGAAAGAAATGGGGAAAAGAAAGAAAAGAAAGAAAATAAAATAAAGAAAAGAAAGACTGAAAGAGAGAAAAAGAGAGAGAGAGAAAGAAAGAAAGAAAGAAAGAAAGAAAGAAAGAAAGAAAGAAAGAAAGAAAGAAAGAAAAAGAAAGAAAGACAAAGAGAGACAGAGAGACAGAGAGACAAAGAGAAAGAAAGAAAGAAAAAGAAAGAAAGAAAAAGAGAGAAAGAAAAAAGAGAGAAAGAGAGAAAAAGAGAGAAAGAGAGAGAGAAAGAAAGAGAGAAAAGAAAGAAAGAGAGAAAGAAAGAGAAAGGGAGAAAAAGAGAGAAAGAGAGAAAGAAATAAAGAGAGAAATAAAGAAAGAGAGAGAGAGAGAGAAAGAAAGAAAGAAAGAAAGAAAGAAAGAAAGAAAGACAGAAAGACAAAGAGAGACAGAGAGACAAAGAGAGACAAAGAGAAAGAAAGAAAGAAAAAGAAAGAAAGAAAAAGAGAGAAAGAAAAAAGAGAGAAAGAGAGAAAAAGAGAGAAAGAGAGAGAGAAAGAAAGAGAGAAAAGAAAGAAAGAGAGAAAGAAAGAGAAAGGGAGAAAAAGAGAGAAAGAGAGAAAGAAATAAAGAGAGAAATAAAGAAAGAGAGAGAGAGCTGGCGGGGCAGGAGCGGCTGCTCCTGGCGCGGCTGGCCGGGCTGGAGCGGGACATCGCGCGGAGAGGGGAGGAGAGCAGCGGCCGGCTCGCCGAGCAGATCGCCGCCGCGGGCCGGCAGATCCAGGAGCTGGAGGAGAAGTGCCGGCAGCCGCCCTGGGAGCTCCTGCAGGTGAGCCCTCAGACCACAAAACCGCGATTTTCCCAAGGAAAATCCCAGGTTTGGGCAGGAAGGGGCCGGCAGAGCACCCAGAACACACCAGGGGCGCTCCCATGGGCTGCGTTTCTCCCTGGAGATGTGAAAACTCCTTTTAAATCCCATTTTCCCCCCGTAATTATTCAGTGTCAATTTCTCTAGATCCTCCCCAGCCTTTACCAGATCCCTGGGATTCCTGGGGGTCCCAATCCCCCTCCAGCCCCCTCTGCCGGGTTTCTCCCTGTAAAATCCGGCCCCTCCGGCGCTCCCCGGCAGGCGCGGGTGGCGGCGGAGCGGCAGCGGCTGCGGCGGCGGCTGCGGGAGCTGCGGGAGCGGCTGGACTCCTTTTAAATCCCATTTTCCCCCCGTAATTATTCAGTGTCACACAAAGTCGTCCCATTGGGAGGTCCTGGGTCACCCCCAGCTCGCTGGGGTTCACCCTGGAGATGTGAAAACTCCTTTTAAATCCCATTTTCCCCCCATAGTTATTCAGTGTCACACAAAGTCATCCCATTGGGAGGTCATGGGTCACCCCCAGCTCCCTGGGGTTCACCCCTGTCCAGAGGGACCCCCCCAGCAATGGTTGGGGTGCCTTGGCCACAGCTGGAAACAGCTGGTGCTCCCCCTGGCCTGGGGGTTGTCACCAAAGCCACCACCCGAGCCCGGCCCTGGTTTGAGAATTAAATAATCAAATGTGAAAAAATTCAAATAGCAAAAAAATCCAGACATTCAAATGATGAAATATTCGAATATCCAAACATTGGAACAGCCAAACACTCAAACAACCAAACATTCAACCACCCAAACTTTCAAACAGTCAAACATTTAAACAAACACTCAAACAACCAAACCTTTTAACAACCAAACATTTAAACACCCAAACATTTAAACAGCCACACATTCAAACAACCAAACATTCAAACATTCAGTCAAACATTCAAACAACCAAACATTTAAACAGCCACACATTCACAGTCAAACATTTAAAGACCCAAACATTCAAATGACGAAATATTCGAATATCCAAACATTCAAACAGCCAAACATTCAAATGCCTAAATATTCAAATATCCAAATATTTAGACACCTAATCATTCAAACAACCAAACATTCAAACAGACAAACATTTAAACAGCCACACATTTAAACAGCCAAACATTCAAACAACCAAATATTTAAACAGCTAAACGCTCAAACAGTCAAACATTTAAAGACCCAAACATTCAAACAACCAAATACTCAAACAAACAGCCAAACATTCAAACAGTCAAACATTCAAACAGCCAAACATTCAAACAGTCAAACATTTAAAGACCCAAATATTTAAACAGCCACACATTTAAAGAGCAAAACATTCAAACACCCAAACTTTCAGTCAAACATTCAAACAGTCAAACACTCAAACAACCAAACATTCAAACACCCCAATATTCAAACAAACACCCCAATATTCAAACAAGCAGCCAAACATTCAAACACCCCAATATTCAAACGAGCAGAGGGGTTCAGCAGCAGCCGCCACGCCCCTCCGGCTGCTCCTTGAGGCCTCTCCCGGATTCCCGCAGATCCAGACCCCCTCCTTAGGGCCGGGCAGCGCCCCCGGGTCGCCCCAGAGCCCTCCCTGGTTTCCCACCCCGCTCTGACGTGTCTGTCTGTCTGTCTGTCTGTCTCCCCTGCAGGACAGCAGCGACATCCTCAGCAGGTTTGTGGCTCCTCCTCGCCCGCATTCCTGCCGCTTTCCCGACCCCAAAACCCCAAAACCCCAGCGTCACCGGGAGAGTTGGGGTGCTGGAGGCCGGGGCCAGGTACTGGGATGGGGGGAAGGTGCCCCCAGCTCTGCTGCGGCCGCTCCCTGATCCCTGAACTCCTCCCTGGAGGGATGAGCTGTGCCAAACACGGGGAGCCAGCAGGCAGGAGGGGTAAATTCCGAGGGGATCCCCCCACCCTTGAGCAGATCTGCTCGTGTCCCCTTCAGATTGAGGGGTGGGAAGGAGGAAATTCGCTTTTATTCCCTGATTTCCACTGGCAGAAAATCTTCCCCATCCAGGGATTCCTCAGCCACGGCTGGGTCAGGAAATGTTCTCCAGGATCTCCTCGATGAGGAGCAGATCCCAAAAACCTCCTGCAGACGCCAAACCCGAGAGGAAGGGGGTTATAAAATCGTGGAAATTCGGGGTGGTTTGGGTTGGGAGGGACCTTCCAGGCCTTCCCAGGGCCTGGCTGCCTCTCCAGTCCCACCATTCCCTGTTTTTGTGGGGAAAATCCTCTCCTGCTTTCCAGGCTGGAGCAGCAGAGCGCCCCCGAGCCCGGGGAGACTCCAGCAGAGCTGGCAGAGGAGCCCACGGGGCTGGCCCAGGAAAAATTCACCCTCAAAGAGACGCTGAGGAAGTTCCAAGGTATGGAGGGGCCAGGGAAGGGGGTGGAGCTGTGTCACCTTGGGAAATCGCCCCTCAAAGGTGAAAATCCCAGATATTTCCACGTGGAAACTCCAGAAAGGAAAACCCCCACACTCCAGAGCCTCGTTTTTGCTCTGAGCCAAATTCCCTTTGCTGGGGTTTCCCTTAATCTGCTCTCCCAATTTCCCTTTTCAAAGGGAAAAATTTCTCTGCAAATTTCTCTTTTGGATTGCAGAATTTCTCTGTGATTTTTCCCTTTTCAAAGGGAAAAATTTCTCTGCAAATTTCTCTTTTGGATTGCAGAATTTCTCTGTGATTTTTCCCTTTTCAAAGGGAAAAATTTCTCTTCAAATTTCCCTTTTGGATTGCAGAATTTCTCTGCGATTTTTCCCTTTTCAAAGGGAAAAATTTCTCTTCAAATGTCCCTTTTCTGCTCTCCCAATCCCACAAAACACCCCTGGAGTCTCCCAGACAGGGGAAGGTGGGAGAAACCCAACCCCAAATGTGGGACAAACCCAACCCCAAATGTGGGACAAACCCAACCCCAAAGGTGGCACAAACCCAACCCCAAATGTGGGACAAACCTGACCCCAAATGTGGAATAAACCCAATCCCAAAAATGGAATAAACCCCACCCCAAATGTGGAATAAACCCAACCCCAAATGTGGGACAAACCTGACCCCAAATGTGGAATAAACCCAATCCCAAAAATGGAATAAACCCCACCCCAAATGTGGAATAAACCCAACCCCAAATGTGGGACAAACCTGACCCCAAATGTGGAATAAACCCAATCCCAAAAATGGAATAAACCCCACCTCAAATGTGTGACAAACCCAATCTCAAATGTGGAATCAACCCCACCCCAAAGGTGGAACAAACCCCACCCCGAAAGTAGGACAAACCTGACCCTAAAGATGGGACAAACCCAGCCCCAAATGTGGAACAAACCCAACCCCAAATGTGGTGGAACAAACCCAACCCCAAAGGTGGAACAAACCCCACCCCGAAAGTAGGACAAACCCGACCCTAAACCCCGACCCAAAGGTGGAACAAATGTGTGACAACCCCGACCCAAAGGTGGAACAAACCCCACCCCGAAAGTAGGACAAACCCGACCCTAAAGATGGGACAAACCCGACCCCAAATGTGTGACAAACCCGACCCCAAATGTGGAACAAACCCAACCCCAAATGTGGAACAAACCCGACCCCAAATGTGTGACAAACCCGACCCCAAATGTGTGACAAACCCAACCCCAAATGTGTGACAAACCCAACCCCAAAGGTGGAACAAACCCCACCCCGAAAGTAGGACAAACCCGACCCTAAAGATGGGACAAACCCGACCCCAAATGTGTGACAAACCCAACCCCAAAGGTGGAACAAACCCGACCCTAAAGATGGGACAAACCCGACCCCAAATGTGTGACAAACCCAACCCCAAAGGTGGAACAAACCCGACCCCAAATGTGTGACAAACCCGACCCCAAGGTGGAACAAACGCCACCCCAAGCCCTCGCGGCCCCAGGCCCACCGGCCTCCCTCGCCCCGCAGTCAGCCTGACGCTGGATCCCGACACGGCGCACCCGCGCCTCGCCCTCTCCGAGGACGGCAAGAGCGTGCGCTGGGCCGACGCGCGCCGAGCCGTGCCCGACCACCCCAAACGCTTCGACTCGTCGCGCTGCGTGCTGGGCCGCCAGGCCTTCGCCTCCGGCCGCCACTACTGGGAGGTGCGGGTGGGCCGCGGCGCCGCCTGGGCCGTCGGCGTGGCCCGCGAGTCCGTGGCCAGGAAAGGCCGGCTCGGCGTCAGGCCCGAGCTGGGCGTCTGGGCCGTGGGGCTCTGCGGGGGCCGCTGCCAGGCGCTGGCGTCGCCCGGCGTGCCCATCGCCCTGCCGCGGGCGCCCGAGGTGGTGGGGGTCTACCTGGACTACGAGGGCGGGCGAGTGGCGTTCGTGGACGCGGGCGGCGAGGCGCCGATGTTCGCCTACGCGCCGGCGAGCTTTGGGGGGGAGAGGGTGCTGCCCCTGCTGTGCCTGGGGAGGGGGTGCCAGTTCAGCCTGTGCCCCTGAGACCCCCGGGCGGGACCCTCAGCGGCGCTGAGCTTTCCGCCTCGGAGGATTCGGGTGGGAAATTCCCTTTTCTCCATTATTTCTTTATAATTTCTGCATCGTTTCTGCATCGTTTTCTCCATAATTTCTCCATAATTTCCTCCATAATTTTCTTCATAATTTTCTGCATCATTTTCTCCATCATTTCTCCATAATTTCCTCCATAATTTCTCCATAATTTCTGCATAATTTTCTGCATCATTTTCTGCATAATTTCTCCATCATTTCCTCCATCATTTCTCCATTATTTCTCCATCATTTCTGCATCATTTTCTGCATCATTTTCTCAATGATTTTCTTCAGAATTTCTCCAAAATTTTCTCCATAATTTTCTGCATAATTTTCTTCATAATTTCCTCCATCATTTTCTGCATAATTTTCTCCATAATTTCCTCATAATTTCCTCCATCATTTCTACATAATTTCTCCATCATTTCTGCACAATTTTCTGTATAATTTTCTCTATAATTTTCTCCATAATTTCTCCATAATTTCTCCATAATTTCCTCCATGATTTCTAGATAATTTCTCCATAATTTTTCGATAATTTCTCCATAATTTTCTCCATCATTTCTGCATAATTTTCTGTATAATTTTCTGTATAATTTTCTCCATAATTTCTCCATCATGTCTCCATCATTTCTGCATCATTTCTGCATCATTTCCTCCATAATTTCCTCCACGATTTCTCCAAAATTTCCTCCATAATTTCTCCAGCATTTTGCCATCATTTTCTTCATAATTTCTGCATCATTTCCTCCACGATTTCTCCAAATTTTCCTCCATAATTTCTCCAGCACTTTGCCATCATTTTCTTCATAATTTCTGCATCATTTCCTCCATCATTTCCTCCATAATTTCTCCACCATTTCCGCCATCTCCCTTTTCCTGCAAGGAGAAGCCGCAGCTGGGTCGGAGAAATGCGGGTTTGAGGTCGGGGGAGGCTTTTGCCGTTTTGAGGATGAGAAAAATGGGGGAGAAAACACACAGAGACCCTTTTTTTAGCGCATTTAACCCAAAAATCTTCAGTTTAGGTCGTTCCTCGGGAGATAAGGCGCTGATCGCAGCTCCCTGGTGGTCTAGTGGTTAGGATTCGGCGCTCTCACCGCCGCGGCCCGGGTTCGATTCCCGGTCAGGGAAGGAAACTTTTGTTTCCGCTGAAAAAAAATTAATTTTTGGGAAAAATCTATTTAAGCATCTCCTAACCCCCAAAACACGCCTTTTCTCCTCTTTTTTACGCCTCTCCTCTCCCGCGAGACGCCCCCTTCCAGCTGCTCCTGAGAAATGAATAAATAAATTAATTAATAAGCAATAATGCTAATTGAATTTTTTTCGATTACTTTTATATTAAAGGCGTTCACCAGCTGTGCTGAAATAATTTCAGCTGAGCACTGAAATTAAACTATGGCGATTATCGAGGGGTTGAATTGTTTGTTATGCATTAGGAATTATTTACAGGTGGTAATAATTTCGAAAGGGAACAAGATTTTTAAAAAGAGCCACGATATGGAAAAGGGGGAAAAAATTTGAAAAAGGAATAATCACTTGATAAACGGAATAATAATTTGAGAAAAGGGGATAAATACTTCAAAAAAGAGGATTAATAATTGGAAAAGGAAGGGCAATTTTATAGGGGGAAAATGAATGTTTAGGAAGAGATTATTATTTTGAAAATGGGAATAATGATTTTAAAATGGACGTAACAATTTAAACCCGGAAATAATAATGTACGAAGGAATAATAATTTTAATAAAGGGAAAGCACAGCAGGAAAAAAGGATTTTTTTTTTAATTTTCCCCAAAAAGCAGCGCTGTCAGGAGTGGGATTTGAACCCACGCCTCCATTAGGAGACCAGAAATCCCGAGGGAAGGTGAATCCTTGAGTCTGGCGCCTTAGACCACTCGGCCATCCTGACGGCGAGAATTTGAGGCAAAACAGAGCAAATCGGGGATTTTAAATCAGGTTTTGTTCTTTTTTTTTTTTTCTTTTTTTTGAGGGGGTGTTTGGTTTTACTTTTTTCGCTTTTTTTTGCGTTGTTTTGTGGGGGCTTTTAAAATGCTAATTAAAGGTAATTATTAAAAAGATGGAATAATAATGGTTGTTAAAAGGAAAAAAAAATTAAAAAGAAATAATATTTGAGGAGAAAAGTATTTAAAAATGGAATAATGATTTCTGAAAGGAACAGTCAGTCTCACCGAATAAAAATAAGAAAACCCTGCGTAACAAAAATAATAATTTTAAAAGGAATGATGATATTATTATTATTATTATTATTATTATTATTATTATATCTAAAAAGGAACAATAATTTACAAAGCAAAAAGGATTTAGGAAAAGGAACAATAATTTCGAAAAGCAGGAATGACTTGAAGAAGAATGAAATAACAAAACCTGGGATAACAACTTTAAAAATTGCAATTAAAAAAAGACAGGGAAGAATAATAATTTTAAAATAACGATATTTTAGAAATTATAATAATTTAAAGTTATAGTAAATGAAGAGTAAGGTCAGATTGAAGGAAAAAAGGAGAAAATTTTTAACGCCCAACGTGGGGCTCGAACCCACGACCCTGAGATTAAGAGTCTCATGCTCTACCGACTGAGCTAGCCGGGCTGCTGGGAAACTTGGGCTGCAGATACAAAATTTGGTGTATAAATTATAACAACTCCACCCATTTTCCCCGAATCCCTCAGCAGCCAGATCCTTTTGGGGTGGAAAAGGCTGAAAAAACCCCTCTGCCACCCGGCAAATTCTGATTTTCCGCCAATTCTCCCTCCGCGATCAAAACCGGCCCTTAAAATCTTCCCCGCTGGGACAAATCCCCGCGGGCTCTGAGAGGGGTGGAGCTGCCTGAGAGCTGGCGGGATTCTGGGCCAAAAAACGGGGTTTTTGTATTTTTGTTGAATTTTTGATGTTTTTTTTTGAATGTGGTTTTATTTTTTTTTTTTGGTTTTGAGGGCGGCAGGTTCGGAGCTGGGGACGCGGCGCGTTTCTGTAGTGTAGTGGTTATCACGTTCGCCTCACACGCGAAAGGTCCCCGGTTCGAAACCGGGCAGAAACACATCGCAAAAAGTTTTTTTTAATTATTTTCGTTTCCCAGCATTAGTCCTAATTCCCTCAAGGCAAAAGAAAAAAACCCGAAAACCCAAAAAACGTGTATTTATAGGACGAAAGTGTTTGATTTTTACTGCGTTATCTGGTGCGGCCAAAACAAACAAAAAAAAAAGACATATTTATAGGGCGAAACTCTTTAATTTTTACTGCGTTGTCTGGTGCTGGCAAAAGAAAATTAAAAAAAATCAAATGACATATTTATGGCACTAAACTCTTTAATTTTTACTGCGTTATCTGGTGCCGGCAAAAGAAAATAAAAAAATAAAATGACTTATTTATAGGGCGAAACCATTTAATTTTCAATTTTATCTGTTGGTGGTAAAGATTCGTGTTTATGAGTCAAAACTGGTTTATTTCGGTTCATAATCCGGCTGGAATTGAGGAATTCTCTTTGTTTTTGAGGAAAACTTTGAGCCCTCCTTCCCTGACCGGGAATCGAACCCGGGCCGCGGCGGTGAAAGCGCCGAATCCTAACCACTAGACCACCAGGGAGCTGCTTTTACCCCAAATTTTACCGTTCACGGCGGTTTTTTTACAGCCAAAATTCGCTCCAAATGCGCTCTTCCCATCGGCCTCGGGCCGCCGCTTCGCTCCTGGCGCGGAAAGAATCAAAAATAGGAAAAATGGTGGAGAAATGGAAATTAATTTTAAAATTCCCCCAAATAATAATTCAAGGTAATTAGAGAATCAATCAAAAATAGGAGAAACCAATAAAAATGATTAAATATAGTCAATAAAAATAGCAAAATTAGTTTAAACAATAGGATTTATCTTAAAATTGTCCTCCCTAGTGGTGAGGATCCATCGCCGTGGGCCGGATTCCCGTTCAGGAAAAAAAATTCTAAAAAACGGCTGAATTCTTCAAAAATCATAATTTCAAACCTCGGGGTGCTCCAATGCCCGGTGATCCCAATCTTCGTGATTTAAAGAATTTAATATTTAAAATTAATGTTATAAAATGTAATATTGTAAAATTTTAACCATGTAATACTTTTATTAAAATTTAATAATTTGAATATTAGAAAATTTAAATGAAGGGAATTAGAAGTCACTAGGGCAGCTTTTCTCCCAGGGTTTGGAGAGTTTTTGGAGCCGCCCCAGAGGGAATTTGGATGCCCGATATTCCAGAAAAGACACAAAACCCCCTTGCCGTGGCGTTTCTGTAGTGTAGTGGTTATCACGTTCGCCTCACACGCGAAAGGTCCCCGGTTCGAAACCGGGCAGAAACAGCAAAGTTTTGGGGTTTTTTCCCCCGTTATTTTCGGGGCCCCGGGTGGGTTTGGGGGAAAAAAAAATCAAAAAAAGGAAGGAAGGAAAAAAAAGGTCCAAGGGATGTAGACAGCAGTGCCAGTAAAAGGAAAAATAAACTTTAAAAAAAATTATTTTATTTTTTTTAATTCCCAGGGAATTCTTTCCCGCCCGTTGGGGCGTGCAGGTTTCTGTAGTGTAGTGGTTATCACGTTCGCCTCACACGCGAAAGGTCCCCGGTTCGAAACCGGGCAGAAACAGCAAAGTTTTGGGGTTTTTTTCCCCCTTATTTTCAGGGCCCCAGGTGGATTTTGAGGAAAAAAAAAAGGAAGGAAGGAAGGAAAAAAAAAAGGCGAAGAGATGTAGACAACAATGACAGTAAAAGGAGATATAAACTTTGTTTTGTTTATTTATTTTTATTTTTTAATTTCCAGGGAATTCTTTACCAGAGGTCAAAGGAAAAATAAACTTTTTTTTTTTTTTAAGTTTAAATTTAATTCCCACGAAATTCTTTCCCGGGGGTGCAGGCGTTCAGGTTTCTGTAGTGTAGTGGTTATCACGTTCGCCTAACACGCGAAAGGTCCCTGGTTCGAAACCAGGCAGAAACACGATTGTTTTGGGGTAATTAACTCCCTTTTCCACCCAGCCGGGGTTTAATTTTGCGGTGATTTTGGGGTAATTAACTCCCTTTTCCACCCAGCCTGGGGTTAAATTTTGGGGTGATTTTGGGGTAATTAACTCCCTTTCCCACCCAGCTGGGGTTTAATTTTGGGGTGATTTTGGGGGTTCTGAGCTGCTGGGGTTGCGTGCAGCGTTCCTTGCGTCTGCTTCCCAGAGGGGAAATTATGGAAAAAAAATCAAATAATCACAGGGTTAATTCCATTTTTCCATCCCGCTGCTTCACCGAACCCCGTTTTTGTCCATTCCCGGCCAAGATGGGGAGGAGAGAAAAGGAAATTTGAAAATTTCCGACTTTCAAACCCAGCCATTCCTCGGGTTGTTCGTACCCAGGAGAAGCTCAATAAAATAAAATAAAATAAAATAAAATAAAATAAAATAAAATAAAATAAAATAAAATAAAATAAAATAAAATAAAATAAAATAAAATAAAATAAAATAAAATAAAATAAAATAAAATAAAATAATAAAATAAAATAAAATAAAATAAAATGATTTCTGGAGAGGGAGAGGAGGAGGAGGCTGCAGTCACGGGCTCCTGCTCCCGGATGGAATTGTTTGTTCTTGGGACGTGACCTGGAACCGCAGCCGGATCCCCGCGCTCCCTCCCGGCCCTGCTTTTGTCGGAGTTCTTGGCTCCGTGTTCCCCATTTTTCCAGAAATTTGGGCCTTTTCCCTGCTGGAATTCACCCCCCTCACCCTCCCCCGCTTTTATTCCAATTCCTCCAGCAGAGCTGGGCTGACAGCGCTGCCTGAAGGGAAAAAAAATCACTAAAATGACCCAAAATCCTCGGAAATTCAAAGGTTGAACTGTTGGAATGTCCATAATTTGCTTTTTTTCCTGGATTTTAGGGTCTTTTCCCCTGTGTGGAAAGCACGGGGATGAGCCCAAACTCCGGAAAATCGGGAAAACTCCTCGGTTCTAGTTTAGTTTGGGACAGGGCGGGGGTAAAAATGGCTTTTTTCGGGTAATTTTGCGCTGCCAGGTGTTTGAAAAGGACCGAGGAGGAGCCGGCGTGGGGGTGAGGCAAGAATGGGTTAAATTGGGGGGGTTTTGGAGCTTGGAGGGTGACAAAAAGGGGGGAAAACGCACAGGAACCCTTTTTTTGGCAGATTTAACCCAAAACTCCTCAGTTTGGGTCGTTTTTTAGGAGATAAGGCGCTCATCGCAGCTCCCTGGTGGTCTAGTGGTTAGGATTCGGCGCTCTCACCGCCGCGGCCCGGGTTCGATTCCCGGTCAGGGAAGGAGGATTTTGTTCTAAATATCTCTTTTTTTTTTTAAGTCATCTTTCCAGAATTTAACATCTCCCAACCCCCAAAACACCCCTTTTCTCCCCTTTTTGTACCTCGCTCTTCCCGCCAGACGTCCCCTCCCACCTGCCCCAGGTCCACCTTTTATTGAGAAATATATTTTTTTAAAAATGGAAAAAGGGAAATAAATTGAAAAAGGGAACGATAATTTGTAAAAGTGATTTGGGAGAGGGAGCGATAATTTGAAAAAAAAAAAAAGGGAGGGATAAAACTTTTGAAAGGGGGAATAACGGTTGAAGGAGGAATAATAGTAAAAGTAATAGTAACAGTAATATTAAAAATAATAATAAAAAATAGAAATAGAAATAGAAATAGAAATAGAAATAATAGAAATAATAGAAATAGAAATAGAAATAGAAATAGAAATAGAAATAGAAATAGAAATAATAGAAATAGAAATAGAAATAGAAATAGAAATAGAAATAGAAATAGAAATAGAAATAATAATTTTAGAACGGGGAAAAAAGCTTTTTGGGATTAAAAAAAATTAAAGGTTTTGGCTTCAGCGGAAGCAGCAGCGCGAGGGGCCGCGTCTTCTGCCTAAATTCCCAAAAATTCCGCAT